CCCTATAACACTGTTGATAATTCCGTTTTATATGAATTCCATGTTGTACGAGTCACTTAGATTTTACAAATACGTGTGCCGGGCTGTGAACGGCTCACGTATTTGTAAAATCTAAGTGACTCGTACAACATGGAATTCATATAAAACGGAATTATCAACAGTGTTATTGGGGGTCGATTGTAATTAATTTTATTTATAAAGCTTTGAAGCATATTTTACTTTAATTTTTAAAATTAATTTATAAAATTTATACAAATTTTCGAAACTTTGAATTTTAAGTTTCTGTTTTGGTGGAGATTGTTTTATACAATTATTTTTAATGTAATACTCACTTGTAATCTCTTTATTGATGTAAGATTATCTGCAAATTGAGTGACAGCAATCGAAAACATGTAGAAAATACTGCGGAAGAGGCAAATTGATAAACTCATATTGACGAATACAATTTGGGCAGTTAAATGACCTCCATAAAAGAAAAAAGTCAGGAAAGTAAGGCAAGAGAATAATTTGGAGAAAGAATATGACAATGCTTGAGCTATTCCACGAAGATACAAAGACCTTTTCACTTTCCTTATTTCTCTCCTTAGGGAAAAGTACAATAATTTCGAATTTTGAGTTAAATTAAATTTCAAAAAAATAAAAAAATATATTGTAGAAATTGCGTACTTTCTGGCTTTCTCTATTAATAAAGTAAACGGCTTCTCCCAAGTGTACATTTTAATTAATCTCATACCAGCAATCATCTCGTTAAGTAGGTTCAGCCTTTCGTCTCCTGCTTTAGCTATCTGTAATCTGTCGTGAAAAATATAAATAAATATTAAAATTAAAATTAAATAATTAGCGAAATTATTTAATATTTTGATTGAAACACGAGGCATTACATTATATAATTTTTGACCTTTTAGCAATGGAAACTAAAAATAAAGTAAATATAAATCAATTTCATAAAGGTGTCAAACTTCATAAGCAACTTTTAACTAGGCCCGTGTTCGAGTCTAAAGTTTAGTTAGCAAACTAAACTCATAACTCAACTAGTAATAAGTATTGCGTATTGTTGATGAGATGGCCACTTGACAGGAGTCAACACATATATATTTGTAAACTCTTTCCGGCCTATGGGTACAAAGAGCATTATGAATTCGGCAATTCAATGGAAAAGTAGCCGATCCCGAAAAATTCCTGGAGTTTTTCGACTGGTTTGGATTCTGTTCTCGGCTCCAAAGAACGGTAGGCTGCCACCACATGGGCTAACTCAGCCATATTGCCATTGAGGCAGCCTATTTTGTTCTGCATTCTGTTCTAACAAGTCTGAACCTAAAATTTATCATATCACAAATTCGGAGGCTTTTCTTGGCGCCATTTGCATATTGGCTATTCCCATTTTTGGTTATAAAAGTTGAAAATGGTCGAAATTACACTCGGCAATAGAACCATTATGTGATTCATTCCGTGGTAAATCATTCAGTCATTCTCAGATAGAAAGAAAATTTTATGAAATCAAATTTTATATATTAAAAATATTTTAAGAAACACTTTATTTTTATTAACGTTTTACGAAAATAAGTAAAATATATTTAAATAATTTCAAATACCTAAAGAGAATAGGCAAAACAACACAGAATAACAAGGGTATATTACCTCAGTTTTGAATACACTTTTCCCAATATAAGTTGTATGGGAACAAAAATAAATATTGTTGAAATTCCAACTAAAACAGTCCAACCGAAATACTGCCATAATATAGCCACTACAGCAATGATTATAAGAGGATCGGCAAAGACGTACGCTAAAGAAAATATATTCTGTTGAAAGAAAGAAAAATATATTATATCACAACAGTAAATAATAAAATTTAAACTCCTATATAATATTACCATTAACATGAACCGAAACGTTAAAAAATGTATGAAAAATTTAAAAAATTATGAGTAAATCGGAATAAAATTGCTACATATTTTCCATTGTTCTAGGAGATCGAAAATTCCTTTTTCATACAAGACTATTTCGTTCGTTTGCATACAATGATACGTTCCTTGTGGAAGACTATATACTTTTTAGTGCCAGGCTCAAAACTCTTCTTTAGACTGATTAACAGGTAATAATGTGACAGTACTGATTTCAAACTGTTTAAGAGAAGTTCCCAATTGTTAATTTGGATTTTATTTTTGGATAAATTATCAACTTGAAGCCGTGGATTGTTATGATGCAAGATGATCGCATCAGTAACGCTTCTCACTCAATACAGTTTTATGATGACATCATTCATGGTTTTATTAAGAATCCAAAAATCAGCAATAATGTAACAATTTACACTTTAAAACGTGATTACTGCTACCTTGAAGAGTAATGATAATATTTTCGGCGTTTGTGGTTTGGTTTCCAAATTGTAGTAGTCAAATCTGTGTAAATTGGAAGATGATGAGTAACGCCATTCAAGGCATTGATGTTTATTTCCAGATTGAAAATCATAAATTTAACTTTTAACTTCAATGGAAATAAGTTATTTTATAATCTAATTTATTCTGCTGTTTCCGTCCTGTGGGCATTTGGATCTATTTTAGCAATTCCATTATGGATTCGGCCAGATTCAATGAGTTGCCGGATGATAAGGGACGCAGTCCGACATATGTGGCGGGTTATGGCTTCACGGAGTCCAGACAAATTTGAATTAGAAACATCATGTTCAACGTTTTCTTCAGAAATTTTTTTCGAGGAAATTGTTTTGGGAAATATCCTCTTATAAGAGATTGGTTTGGGACTTCCTACTGGGATGGACCTCAGGCAATTGCCCGTTTTGACCATAGTACGCCGCTGTCCGAAATATCAGGACAGACTACTCTCCTAAAAATCATCCACATTCGATCTCGGGTCCATCAGAGAGGTAATCTGTCATTTTAGTAGCTCGACCATCGGTCTATTCCTCTCTAATAACGATCTACTTGGGTTGGTATAAATTGAACACTGTGTCATAATAAACATATTAGTTGTATGAAGTTCAAATTCTGTTGCAACGGCGAGGTGAGGGGAGTCTGTCATTAGATAGTTTTTCACAGGAGAAAGCGAAAATAACATTATTCTTGAACTTCACTCCATTGTACACAATATGCCAAATTGCGCTACAAGCACTACATGTATATTTTCAGATAACGTCGAGTTAAAATGGCATGTTTTGGCAGAGTCAATTCAAAGGACAACTGTCATGGACTTTTCTTCAACCCATGTATTAATGCAGAGAAAACGAAAGCATGTTTCTTGGGTCACGTTTACGACCTTCAAAGTTTGGCTTCGTAATGCACCACATTTTTTCAAGTGTGCAATATCAACACATTGTTTAGCAGCCTTTACACTCCCAAACTCTATAAATCAAAGGACACATTTTACGGCTTGCTCAATAGTCAGTGCAATTCTGTTTTGTCATGTGACGAAACTATTCGATAAATATCTCGCCATTCTTTGCCATTGTGTCAGAATATGAACTTCGTGCAACTAATGTGTTTATTACGTGTAACTTTCAAATTATAACCCACATAGATCACCCGTATAATGTAAATTAAGCTTTATCAGCGTAAAATATTAATAAATTTCATAAATTTATTTTATGTAAAAGAATTTCAACTTACATAATAAAATTTGGTGACATCATTAGCAAGAAGACTAACCATTTGGCCAATATTCGATTTCGCCAAAGACGAAGAACTTAATCGAATTGCCTGCATATAAAATCATAAAAAATAAATACCGAGTGTTAGTTAAATTAATTTTAAATCAAACGAAGCTCTAAATGAAAGAATATAATTTTCTGTTTCCCGTATTTTAAATTCGTGTATGTAAAATCGAAAGATTGGTACTGTCATACCTAAAAATTGGCACCATCGATGGATAAATCACAAAGAACATTCTAAATTCTACCAGTAAATATTATTACAATTATAAAATTATTTGTTAAATGATATAGTAGAACAATACTTTGTGCAGGTCTTTTAAGTTTATTTGCTCCTCTATTCATATAATTAAATCGATTGAAATTGTCTGTACTTATCCCAAAAATAAATTTGTAGTTATTTACCTGATGTTTGTATATAATTGTTGCAATTCGGCTTGTTATATTCCTGTTAAACACAATAAAATTTATTTAAATTAAATCTGTTCCTCACCTTTTTGTATATTACTGTGGAAAAAGCTATTTTTATCTTCATGCCTAACATTTCTGATATAATAAGATGAGTAAGAAATGTTAATAAAAACACCCCTGCTAAAATATAAAATGCTACTATGGTTATATACATGGGTAGTTTGTTATTTTCTTCTGCATGATCAAAATAATTTACTAACAATCCTAAAACATACGCTTGAACAGGGACTAAAACAGCTTCCTGCAAATACAAAGAGTAATCAATGTATTAATCTAAAAAATTACTATTTGTGTTTTAAAGTAGTTTTTATAAGTTTAATTGATAATCAGATTAATTTACAATCTAAATTATGAAGTATAAAGTAGGAAATATTTTATGTTTTACCTGAATAACTGGAAGTAGACATAACAGCATATATTTCCATCCTATAAACCTTAATAAGGCTTTCGTCAAACTTGGATTTTCCAGTTTTATTTCTTTGTCCCATTCCCTGTAGAAAGATTAAACAGACAATCATGAAAGCATTTAAATTCCTCATAGTAATGTACCCTCTATAATGACGCGTGGGATTCAAGCAAATTTGGATTAGAGGGTTTTTATGTACAATGTTGGCTTCAAACATTTTTCGTCGTGGAAACTTTTTTGGGAGAAATCCTCGGTATTCTCGTTCGTGTTTTTAACACGACCTCTAAAATTACTCTTAGAAACACGAGGGCATCGTCCTCACGCAATAAAATAGCGAAATGCCTCAGTTTATCGTAATACTAATAATTTATTAAGTGTAAACTTACTTCTGAAGAAGATCCCCAAGATATTGTGAGGAGTGATACTTTGAAGTTGCATATAAATCGTTCTCTTGCAAAGGTCTTTTTCTTCCTTTCAATAATAATGGAAACAGCCAGCTGAAATGATATTTATTGCTCATTAACCGTTAGAAAAAGTATAATTTATTGTAATTTCTTACATTACACTTTGTAATTATATTATGATTAATCAATGAACAGTTCGTTTCAGTATTCTGTTAGAGTAACTTTTGTTCTTTCATATACATGGTATTAATAAATAAATGGTAGAGATTTATATTCTTCTGTATGTTGTTTTGAAATTGCTCACCATGACTTCTCCCTTTTCAATATTTCAATAATTAAATTATACAGTAAGCTAAAACAACATACAGGTAATAGAAGTAATTGCGGCGTAGAATTGAAGCGAGTGAGTGATTTCTTTCAGGTGGAATCAGCACATTTTTAATATTTTTATAATTAACGTTAATCAGCGAAACTTTTGTTGGCTAATCACAGCATTTGATTTAAAGTTTTTAAATTTAAGCTTGAAATGTTTGTAGTTGCGATTTTTTAGCCAATCAATACTACGAATCAACAATACAGTTTCAACTTCCGAATGTTAAATAGAAAGAAAATCCAACAAGATTCGTCAGAAATAATTTAACTGCTGATGACAGATCGGATATAAATATTAAAAGCAGAGTAAAAAAGCAAAAATGTGAAAAGTAGACAATTTTAGGCACTTTGAAAGTGTTTTAAAAGATCTTGTGTTTGAGCCTTTTATGTTACACCCATCATGTTGCCAAGCCAGAAGATTGGTTTTTACCAAAAAATTCGAACTCTAGTAATAATTGCTGATTTTATATTTGAATTACCAAGGCGTGACGTGAGTTCGCGCCTCTGACCACGTAGAGTTTTCCGGGTTTTCTCCATGTCTGTAACGCTTGAATAGAGGCCAGTTACCCTTAAAAAGATCTCCCAGAAGGCATCCTTCCTAGGCAGATCGCCCAAGTGTTGCGTTACCATAACTTAACAAAACAAACTAAAACAAACCAAGGCAAGACACGATCGATGTAATAATGCTTCTCAATTGCATAGAAATAAAAAAAATGGCAAAATGTGCGGCATGACTTGTAATTAAGGAAATACGTAAAAAATGTACGCATTTCCATAATTGCAAGTCATGTCCAGACATTGCTTTATAAAAAATTCATTAATATTAATTAACACTGTTTTTGACTTGAAAGCGAAAACGCGGAGAAGTTAAATGAATATAATTATAAAATAAGACCACATAAAAAATTTTGACGTAATCATTTATATACTTGTAGTTTCTTGTTTTTTTCTGTAAAAAGTTTAGTATATGCATGCATACCATATTAAAAAGAATAAGAATGTATGCGTTTGACAAAGATTAATCAACTTATAACAAATTACAAATTAATATGGATGTTAGTGTGGATATGTTTGAGGGGCACAATTTTGTTCATGTTTGAAGCTTAATAACTCCTGTGATTTTTGTCGAAAATTTCAGAAATTTTGCAGGAAGGTTTGTTTGTTAGGAGAATTGATACAATTAAATTTTGGTAATTAAAAATCGAAAGGATGGAGAGATAAAGGGGATTGTGTTTATCTTCGATATAGTAGGACTTAATAGTGATTTTACTCTTTATTACCATTTACAAATTTTTATAAAACCCATTCCTCTCCTTAAAATTAATGTTTTTGCCATTTGCTAACAGTTAAAATATAAAAAGTTTAAAAATAAAATATCATAACAGATGGTGCCACAAAATTTGCCTGGAATGTTATGCAACTCGTTTCTGGATTTTTAAAATTTTGTTTTATATTTCGCATGACCATTCTGATACACTTTTGTGAAGCCTGTGCTCTTCGTGTTTTACTATTTAATTTTTTAAGATATGCGATGAGTTGCTAAAAAAGTATATAACAAATATACTTTTTTAGCAACTCATCGCTGGTTTAAATATTCATACTATTACTCTATTGTTATATGACATCTTTATACAGTAGACCCCCTATAACACGGGTTCCTATAGTTTGGATTCCTATATCACTGAGAAAAAATTGCGACAGTATTCGTACAAACATGCTAAAAAAACTCCTATAATTCGGTAAAACGTCATCGCCGACTCGTGTCGCGACAGGATTGCACAAACCGTTGAGTTTAAACGAGCAGCGAACGTACTAACAACCATTTATTATTTAACGTCCATAAAAATTATATTTATATTAATGATGTCTTCAAAGTTCAGCAAAGTTTTCGCAAAAAATAATTTATTAAGAAGCACGTGAGCGCCATTCGATGACAATCTCCACGACGAAAACAAGCTTAAACAACGACGTAGTCGAACGGTGCACACTCGGTAAATAATCCTACAATTTTTTGTTTATAGCATAGTTTATATGGATTATTCCGAAAAAAATTATACGTATTTTGGAAATGTTGAGTCGAATTAGTCTAGAATCGATTAATTTTATGGAAGGAAACCTTTCAAACAGCCGTAGTTCGTAAACTGCATACGTGCCGGGCTGTGATTGATTGGACTCGTAAAAGCTGGATTCATAAAACTCGGAACGTATCTACCGTGTTATAGGGGTATCGACTGTATTCTCGCTCCACGTATTTTCATATTATATACATTANAAGTAACCATTGACAAAAATAAATAAATAAATAAATAAATAAACACAAATCTTCACTCACAGAGACGACCTTTTATTTGAGGTTAGCCTCTGTAAAAAAAAGGAAATTGGCTAAAAAGATCTGACACCGATACCATAAACTAAAATAAGTAGTTCGTTAAAACATTGTCAACGGATAATCTGTATTATTTAGTTTGTCAATGGTGATTGTAAAACGACAAATTGTGAATTTGTATTCTTCAATATATTTTTCTACTATTTTAAAAAACTATTAAGAATCAGTTTAAGACCTTCGAGGCAAAGGAGTTCGAGGCACCAAACTTGGCCTATAAATCAGATTTGAATTTCCGACAATGCTCTCATGGATAGACCGCAGAAGTAAAAAGGTTATTAATTATTAAAATTATTCCTCATATACCATGAATCAGCAAATATTAGATGTATATAGAGGATAGTCATAAAGATTTTTTATTCAAAGCTCTTTGTAGCTGTAACCAATGTGCGAGTTGACACCAAAATTTGTATTCAGACAATACAAAGGACATGGAAACATATTTTGTAAAAAAAAATTTTAGTTCAAAAACTCCTGTTAGAAGACGCTGTACGGGAAAATACACGAGAAAAACACAACTAAAATGAATTTATTTGTTCTGCTAAAAATATGCCTTCTGCAGAAGCCATTTACTGATGTAATGGTACATGTTCGCTTAATTTTTCAGGTGTAAAATTCAGGCGATAAACAGCTGACTTTATTCCTAATATTTAAAATGACAGATTAAGATGTCGCTTAAAAGTTTGTCTTCGATATTTACTGTATTTTGTTTCGTGTATTTTCCCGTAAAGCGCTCTTTAACAAAAGAAGTACCTTTGTTTTGAAAATTATTTTTTGCCTTACTTGCTAGACTATATAGAAATTTTGGTGCCAATTTGCTTATTGTTTACCAATACATAGTACTCTGAATAAGAAAAAGTTAAATTAGAGCAACCATGTATAACAGTATATAAAATCTTTTGAAATATATATACTGATACTAAAAACGTTTGTTAAAACATTAAATTGCCATATTTTAACTTAAGGTCTATTATTTATTTAAATAAGTAAAAGACCGTTTAATTTAACTGTATATTTATGAGGATATAGGGGNTATCAGCGTAAAATATTAATAAATTTCATAAATTTATTTTATGTAAAAGAATTTCAACTTACATAATAAAATTTGGTGACATCATTAGCAAGAAGACTAACCATTTGGCCAATATTCGATTTCGCCAAAGACGAAGAACTTAATCGAATTGCCTGCATATAAAATCATAAAAAATAAATACCGAGTGTTAGTTAAATTAATTTTAAATCAAACGAAGCTCTAAATGAAAGAATATAATTTTCTGTTTCCCGTATTTTAAATTCGTGTATGTAAAATCGAAAGATTGGTACTGTCATACCTAAAAATTGGCACCATCGATGGATAAATCACAAAGAACATTCTAAATTCTACCAGTAAATATTATTACAATTATAAAATTATTTGTTAAATGATATAGTAGAACAATACTTTGTGCAGGTCTTTTAAGTTTATTTGCTCCTCTATTCATATAATTAAATCGATTGAAATTGTCTGTACTTATCCCAAAAATAAATTTGTAGTTATTTACCTGATGTTTGTATATAATTGTTGCAATTCGGCTTGTTATATTCCTGTTAAACACAATAAAATTTATTTAAATTAAATCTGTTCCTCACCTTTTTGTATATTACTGTGGAAAAAGCTATTTTTATCTTCATGCCTAACATTTCTGATATAATAAGATGAGTAAGAAATGTTAATAAAAACACCCCTGCTAAAATATAAAATGCTACTATGGTTATATACATGGGTAGTTTGTTATTTTCTTCTGCATGATCAAAATAATTTACTAACAATCCTAAAACATACGCTTGAACAGGGACTAAAACAGCTTCCTGCAAATACAAAGAGTAATCAATGTATTAATCTAAAAAATTACTATTTGTGTTTTAAAGTAGTTTTTATAAGTTTAATTGATAATCAGATTAATTTACAATCTAAATTATGAAGTATAAAGTAGGAAATATTTTATGTTTTACCTGAATAACTGGAAGTAGACATAACAGCATATATTTCCATCCTATAAACCTTAATAAGGCTTTCGTCAAACTTGGATTTTCCAGTTTTATTTCTTTGTCCCATTCCCTGTAGAAAGATTAAACAGACAATCATGAAAGCATTTAAATTCCTCATAGTAATGTACCCTCTATAATGACGCGTGGGATTCAAGCAAATTTGGATTAGAGGGTTTTTATGTACAATGTTGGCTTCAAACATTTTTCGTCGTGGAAACTTTTTTGGGAGAAATCCTCGGTATTCTCGTTCGTGTTTTTAACACGACCTCTAAAATTACTCTTAGAAACACGAGGGCATCGTCCTCACGCAATAAAATAGCGAAATGCCTCAGTTTATCGTAATACTAATAATTTATTAAGTGTAAACTTACTTCTGAAGAAGATCCCCAAGATATTGTGAGGAGTGATACTTTGAAGTTGCATATAAATCGTTCTCTTGCAAAGGTCTTTTTCTTCCTTTCAATAATAATGGAAACAGCCAGCTGAAATGATATTTATTGCTCATTAACCGTTAGAAAAAGTATAATTTATTGTAATTTCTTACATTACACTTTGTAATTATATTATGATTAATCAATGAACAGTTCGTTTCAGTATTCTGTTAGAGTAACTTTTGTTCTTTCATATACATGGTATTAATAAATAAATGGTAGAGATTTATATTCTTCTGTATGTTGTTTTGAAATTGCTCACCATGACTTCTCCCTTTTCAATATTTCAATAATTAAATTATACAGTAAGCTAAAACAACATACAGGTAATAGAAGTAATTGCGGCGTAGAATTGAAGCGAGTGAGTGATTTCTTTCAGGTGGAATCAGCACATTTTTAATATTTTTATAATTAACGTTAATCAGCGAAACTTTTGCTGGCTAATCACAGCATTTCATTTAAAGTTTTTAAATTTAAGCTTGAAATGTTTATAGTTGCGATTTTTTAGCCAATCAATACTACGAATCAACAATACAGTTTCAACTTCCGAATGTTAAATAGAAAGAAAATCCAACAAGATTCGTCAGAAATAATTTAACTGCTGATGACAGATCGGATATAAATATTAAAAGCAGAGTAAAAAAGCAAAAATGTGAAAAGTAGACAATTTTAGGCACTTTGAAAGTGTTTTAAAAGATCTTGTGTTTGAGCCTTTTATGTTACACCCATCATGTTGCCAAGCCAGAAGATTGGTTTTTACCAAAAAATTCGAACTCTAGTAATAATTGCTGATTTTATATTTGAATTACCAAGGCGTGACGTGAGTTCGCGCCTCTGACCACGTAGAGTTTTCCGGGTTTTCTCCATGTCTGTAACGCTTGAATAGAGGCCAGTTACCCTTAAAAAGATCTCCCAGAAGGCATCCTTCCTAGGCAGATCGCCCAAGTGTTGCGTTACCATAACTTAACAAAACAAACTAAAACAAACCAAGGCAAGACACGATCGATGTAATAATGCTTCTCAATTGCATAGAAATAAAAAAAATGGCAAAATGTGCGGCATGACTTGTAATTAAGGAAATACGTAAAAAAATGTACGCATTTCCATAATTGCAAGTCATGTCCAGACATTGCTTTATAAAAAATTCATTAATATTAATTAACACTGTTTTTGACTTGAAAGCGAAAACGCGGAGAAGTTAAATGAATATAATTATAAAATAAGACCACATAAAAAATTTTGACGTAATCATTTATATACTTGTAGTTTCTTGTTTTTTTCTGTAAAAAGTTTAGTATATGCATGCATACCATATTAAAAAGAATAAGAATGTATGCGTTTGACAAAGATTAATCAACTTATAACAAATTACAAATTAATATGGATGTTAGTGTGGATATGTTTGAGGGGCACAATTTTGTTCATGTTTGAAGCTTAATAACTCCTGTGATTTTTGTCGAAAATTTCAGAAATTTTGCAGGAAGGTTTGTTTGTTAGGAGAATTGATACAATTAAATTTTGGTAATTAAAAATCGAAAGGATGGAGAGATAAAGGGGATTGTGTTTATCTTCGATATAGTAGGACTTAATAGTGATTTTACTCTTTATTACCATTTACAAATTTTTATAAAACCCATTCCTCTCCTTAAAATTAATGTTTTTGCCATTTGCTAACAGTTAAAATATAAAAAGTTTAAAAATAAAATATCATAACAGATGGTGCCACAAAATTTGCCTGGAATGTTATGCAACTCGTTTCTGGATTTTTAAAATTTTGTTTTATATTTCGCATGACCATTCTGATACACTTTTGTGAAGCCTGTGCTCTTCGTGTTTTACTATTTAATTTTTTAAGATATGCGATGAGTTGCTAAAAAAGTATATAACAAATATACTTTTTTAGCAACTCATCGCTGGTTTAAATATTCATACTATTACTCTATTGTTATATGACATCTTTATACAGTAGACCCCCTATAACACGGGTTCCTATAGTTTGGATTCCTATATCACTGAGAAAAAATTGCGACAGTATTCGTACAAACATGCTAAAAAAACTCCTATAATTCGGTAAAACGTCATCGCCGACTCGTGTCGCGACAGGATTGCACAAACCGTTGAGTTTAAACGAGCAGCGAACGTACTAACAACCATTTATTATTTAACGTCCATAAAAATTATATTTATATTAATGATGTCTTCAAAGTTCAGCAAAGTTTTCGCAAAAAATAATTTATTAAGAAGCACGTGAGCGCCATTCGATGACAATCTCCACGACGAAAACAAGCTTAAACAACGACGTAGTCGAACGGTGCACACTCGGTAAATAATCCTACAATTTTTTGTTTATAGCATAGTTTATATGGATTATTCCGAAAAAAATTATACGTATTTTGGAAATGTTGAGTCGAATTAGTCTAGAATCGATTAATTTTATGGAAGGAAACCTTTCAAACAGCCGTAGTTCGTAAACTGCATACGTGCCGGGCTGTGATTGATTGGACTCGTAAAAGCTGGATTCATAAAACTCGGAACGTATCTACCGTGTTATAGGGGTATCGACTGTATTCTCGCTCCACGTATTTTCATATTATATACATTAGTTTATTTATGTATATATATATATACATATACATATATATATATATGTATATATATATATATATATATATATCTTTTACTTATTAAAATTGATTTATTTATTGTGTAAATTCATTGTTTATATGTACTGTATATTCCACTGTAATTATAGAAGTTTATTGTTAAGTTATTGTAGATTCCATATTGATTTGAGTACAAATATTTTTATATGTGATGAAATTATATCAGCTAAAATTAAAGAAGTGTAAATTTATTTTAGACAATATTTGACATTTTTTTAATCGCCTACTTTTTAATGTCAATAAAATAGAAATATGTACTGACCTAAATTGCAAGTTTATAGTAAATTATAAATATTGTATATCCGTATATTGAGCGAATATAAAATTGCTACATGCTTTTATAAATTTATGAAAAAATTTAGAAAATCAAATATTTTCCGTTTGAATCAAAATCAAAGCAATGACACGAAGTGTGCTCTTTTTACAATTTAAGCAGGATTAATTTATTATATACAGTATATGTATGACTGTCTCTAGAAAGTGTTCGACTGAATATCCAATTTTTATCTTTATTTTCATCTTATATTCATCAAGTCCGATGTCCGAGTAAATAAAACTGCTGAGCACTACTAGCTGGTCACGGGTTCACGCTGGTCCAGTGTTTTTTCATCTTTTAAACACGTAAATATGGACTATTTTTCTATAAAACAAACCTTCTGGTAGGCCTTTGTGAGTATTAATGAGTATTAAGAGGGCCTTTCATGAAATCCATGTCGAGTTCAGCCAGTCCCAAAATGTGGGCACCGGTGGTAAGAGAGGGGGCAAGACGTATACGGGATAAACTATACACGAAAACTTTCCGAAGGTCTCCAGCATGGATTCGATTCCGGCTTCCCCGGAACGGTAGTTCATATAAAAGTTTTTGTCCACTTTCCTTTAATGTTTACATTTTGTCGATTTAAAATTTATCATATTACTATTTTTTAAATATTTTTCTAAATTCTTTATTGAAAAATATATTAAATACACATAACTCTCGTATAACGCGGTAGTTAGGTTTCAAAATGTCGCGTTATGACAGATCTACATATAAATAGCGTGATTACGTTCCAAAACGAATTTTTAAAATAGGCCTATGAATTGTCTCTTTTGTATTAAAGAAAACAGTTTTATTTAATCGAAAATATTTCATTGACAAAACATGAATTACAAAAAATAATAAACTTCGTAAAATAATTCTATTAACAAGACATGTTACTTTGATAACTCACTATTAATATGACATTACTTTAACTAACTTATTTAGGTTTATTATGAACTAAATACTATTTTTACCAACTAAACTGAAAAATGTAGCAACGAGTTAATGAACTTTTCCGGCAACGTGGCACCATCTATTATGATATTTCATTATTAGAAGCTTTTTATATTTTAACTGTTTAATGGCAAGAAGCTAATTTTTGAGGATAGATATGGGTTTTATAAAAATTTGTAAATGCTAATACTGATCCTATTGGAGATGCACACTACCCATTCATCTCCCTACCTCTTTACATTTGCGGCCGGATGGCCGAGCGGTCAAGGTGGCAGCCCACCGCTCTGGGGGAACCGGGCTCGAATCCGAACGGGTCAAAAAAATCCCAAGAATTTTCGGGGGTGGTCCGTTCAGATATGTCGGGCCCCGTCCCTCACCACCCGGCAGCTCCTTTGTGGGCCTGGCCGAACCCACAATGGGCTTGCAAAAAGAGGCCCTCTTAGTGCCCACAGGGCGAAAAGAGTAAAAAAAAAAAATCTCTTTACATTTAACTATCAAAATTTAATAGCACCAATATAAGCATATAAGCAAACCTTCCTGCTAAATTTCAGAAATTTTTCGACAAAACGTACAGGCTTTATAACGCTTCAAACAGAGTGAACGAAATTGTGCTCCCCACACACTATAAATCCATACATATAGAAATTACCCGCGATTTTATTATTATTATTATTATACGCATTTCTGAACGTTTCAAGGTGTCCTGAATCCAAAAATGTAATTTTGAGAGATCAATTTTGACCGATTGCCATACTTTTCCTCTTTTAAATATAAAAGCCAGAAAAGTAAAATGAAAATATATTACAATTTATGTAGCAATCAGCTTACACACAAAGATCCAAAGGAAATTTCTATTCAAATTAGAATTCTTCAAATCAGAAGAAAAGAAAATATCCTGAAAATTGAAATTTGCATTGTTCAAGATTACACACTTGTTAGTAAAGAATAGTTTTTATATTTTGTAACAAGATTGTTAAGAAAAATACCCGAAAGAAAATTACTTGTGTAATATAAATAGATTTCACATCGAAATCACGCAGTATAAGTACCCGTTATACAAGGGTTACATATATTTAACTTAATGTATTGTTTAGCAAATGGGTAAACAATTAGTATATATATTATTTTTCATTTTTATATTATATAATCATACGGAATAAACAATTTAATAAATAGTAAAATTTAAATTGCTTATAACAGTTGATCGCGGGTTCAAGTTTCATCAACGCAATGGCCGAGTGGAATTTTTAGGGTTTTGTTCACATGTCTAACACGTGAATAAACCCCGAACTTTTCGTTTTTTGCTTTCCCGAATAACATCCGAGATAGTAAAACGAAAAAGCATAATGATCGATCAATCGATCAAATTGTGACCCCCCAGTTGTTTCTGCATTTCTCGTCATTTTGAGCTCAAGCAGCCAAAAGTGTAAAAAAACCTTGCAAAATTTTGTGTTCAGTTTATTTTGCATTATGCCGCAATAGTGGATGGATCGAAAGTTTTCAAACTTGGCAGGGTAATCTCATACGCACATTGTTTATCTTTAAACTATTGATAAATGTTGAAAATGTTCTCAGTAAAGTTTTAAACAGTAAATGTAGGAGGACACGTGTCACATCTTGAGTGTGGTCAGACATAATATGAATTTTACTCGTAATTTACATTTTAAACAAAACCTCATCTCTACCATCAAAACATATTTGTATCTTTTCTTTTTTTATAACACAGTAGAACCCCCTCTATAACACGGTAGATACGTTCCGTGTTTTATGAAATTCATGTTTTACGAGTCCTTAAATACATGAGCCAATCACAACCCGGCGTGTATGTTACGGCTGTTTGAAAGGTTTTCTTCCATAAAATTAATCGATTCTAGACTAATTCGACTCAACATTTCCAAAATACGTATAACTTTTTGGGAATAATCCATATAAACTATGCTATAAACAAAAAATTGTAGGATTACTTACCGAGTCTGCACCGTTCGACGACGCCATTGCTTAAGCTTGTTTTCGTCGCGGAGCGGTGCATCGAATGGCGCTCACGTGCTTCCTGATAAATTATTTTTTGCGAAAACTTTGCTGAACTTTGGAGACATCATTAATATAAATATAATTTTTATGGCCGATAAATAATAAATTGTTTTTAGTAGGTCCGCTGCTCGTTTAAACTCAACAATTTGTGCAATATCCGCTATTGGTCTAGATTCGACCAATCCTGTCGCGACACGAGTCGGCAGTGGCGTTTTACCGTATCGTACGAGTCTCTTTTAGCGTGTTTATACGAATACAATCGCAATTTTTTCGCCGTTATATACGAATCCGTATTATATGAATTAGTTTTATATCTAATTATAATGAATATATAATAAGAATAATTATTATTATAATTATAATTACGAGATTTTACACGCAAAAATTTAGTATAATTAAAAACTGTCGAACTACCAGGCTCCACTAATACTGTATTCGATAACCGAAAATGTCGAAAATAGACCTTATTATCTTTGATTTATACTTTCGTAAATCACTATTCGAATGCATTATATCAATGGTTCCCAATTAGTGGTACGCGTACCCCTTGGGGTACGCGCGGCAATCTAAAATTGGTCGATTTAAAATTTAAATGCACGAGATGATAGAATAAAAAAAAATAATGGGTGGACCATCAAAAATTCTGCAATTTACAACACGATGTCGAATGCACAAATTCGTTTATTTATAACTAAATATTTCCGAAATTTCATCAAAAAATGCTTTTGTGACAAAATCTAAATGAAATTCTTACGCAAGAAACAAAAATTATACAATTAACACAATTTGTGTTAATTTTACAATTATCATTATTATCATGTCAGCGAAGGGGCAATGAAATATTTATTACCATTTTGCATAACATTCCTCTGCGTGAGTGGATTTTCGGCCATGACAAACACGAAAACTTAGCATCGTCACCGACTTCGAATCGAAGATGACTCGAGACCGAAGCTGATCAAAAAGCAACCAGATTTTACAAAGTTGTGCAAAGAAAATCGTGCACATTTGTCACGTTCAAATTAAATAATCTTATGTTATTTTCACTATTATTAGAATTGTATTTTAAAGGTAATAAATGTAAAAAAACTTATTCTATTTATCACTAGCTGTCTACCCACGGCTTCACCCGCATTATATCGAATTTTCTCGTGGAAGTAAGATATTTTCTGGCAGTAAAATGTAGCCTATGTCCATCTCCAACGTGTAAGCTATCTCTGTGCCAAATTTTATTAAAACCTGTTCGGCGGTTTAGACGTGAAAAGGTAACAGACAGAAATACAGAATTACCTTCGAATTTATAATATTAGTATGGATTAATATGAATTTCTGCTATAAGGGGTACGAGAGTTTGAGCTCTTTCTTGAAGTGGTACGCAGGAAAAACTAATTGGGAGCCACTGCATTATATAAACTGTTATTTGAAATCACGTAAACATGTTTTTAACTTTTAAATCTGAACAAAAACATATTGACATATACCTTAATTTATGTTAGAAAACTCGGGAATTTGTTTAAATTATAAATTTAAAATAATCGAATTAAGAATAGATTAATTAAGAATAGATTACGTACCAGAAAAAAATTCGAGAAAACACACCAGCTGAATCGTATGGATTACTGCGATTTTCCTCATCCATCGTATGATATTGAAAATTGTCTTACAGTATGTGAATTATTATTACTCATCGCTTTTAAATGCACAACATTGTACAGGTTTAATAAACGTTCTGCAATTTTTCAAGCTGTAATAAACAGTGTAGTAATCATTTGATATTGGAGAACTTCAAGTAGTGTCATTTTTAACAAATACTAGAATGTTAAATGTTTTAAAAATAATTTATGAAATCTATCGAACTACTCTATGGTGACATCTATTGTTAGATATTTACTTTGTCAAATATGAGTGAAATTATGTCTTTTATAAAACGAATTTGAAAATGTTCGTAAATGGATATATAATGAAAGAAGAAACGGTATTAAAAAAACTATAGATATTGAGTACTTTTTTATGTTTCTTAGGAGTTCTTGATTTTCCACTTGTAACATTGCTACGTTTTTTAAAAGGATATCTTTTATATGAACATTTATTTCTGTATGCTGTGTTTTTCTGTGTGGTGTCAAACTATACAAACAGGAAAATGTTTTATCGCATATGTCACAAATTTCATTGTACAGTGGGACCTTGTACTTTGAACGACTCAGAGTTCGAACGGCCTCCTGGAATGAATTAAATTCGAACTACGAAGCACTGCTGTAATAACATTTTCCCCTTAAAACCGGGTCGTTTTCTCCTATGGACTTGTTGAGGAGAAACAATAAGAGATACAAGTCGTATGGACTTGTTTCTTCTATTGTTTTTCCTCCGACTTGTTGAGCCTTTCTTAAATGAACGTATAGGATTCTTTTTTTTTTTGTAAACTGGAGCTTTTAATCCAAACACAACACGATCACTTGTCATGACAATTGTAGCAAAGTTTGGCTACAGGCAATACAGTAGGTTGCGACTAGACTATTCTCAAAATACAGCCTTTGTATAATCCTTAAGCTTAGTATACATTAGTCAAGTAAACGATAGAACAGAGGCGAATCAAGAAAAGCATAAATATTCTTCATATATGTGTGATTGCAACCTGTATATATACATTCCATTTCTTTTAAATTAGAGACTTTCCTTATTAATACTTTAAATATTTAAATAAATAAAGTATTGTCATATTTTGAATTTCACTATGTGCCTGTTTTCTTTTTCTTGAGATAAACAAATTTGTTTTTATATATTTTGATTTGGTTAAATATTTTTTACACCGTTAACTTTTATTGAATTTTTATTAAATATATAGATGACTTCATCTAAATGTTTTAAAAACACTTGGATGAAGTCATACATCACTTCATTCCGCTACGTAAGAATGATGTTTTCAAATATCATCACAACTCGAGATTTCTATTTTCGTTTATAGCAGAAATGTTATATTGGATATCAGCATTGCACTTGTATTGCTAATTGCATTTATATTGTTAGAAATATAATTATATTTAAAAGAATTTGTTATGCAGCTGTGCTCTTTGTAAAATAAAGATGTGAAAACTATGTATTATATAAACAATTGTAAACCTAAAAATTAGTTTAAAGTATTCAAGTGTACATTTTGTTATTATAAATAATCCCGTTATGTTCCAACTGTTTTATGATAATCTTATAATTTCAGTATGAAATGTTTTAGGGAAGATCACTTAACTTCAACTTTCATAACATCATCAATACACCAACATTTAAAATTCTGCAATCCCATGCCATTTGTTTTATTCACAATATGTTTTGTTGAGTTGACGATTGACGTTACCAATTATTCATGGATCATATATGGCTGTATATTTTCACTGATTTTATTGATATATCTGATTCTACAAATTTCATTAATTGCAATTTTTGGCTAATATAATAATAGATTATTTTTATCACACCATCAATATTTTCGGGACTAACCAGTGGACGAGTGGATAAAACCACTGAACGCTAGTTCGCGCCTCACCAAGGGGATGGTCACTGGACTTCTCTGGGATTTATTCACGTTTTTATCCTAAACCTTCCCTATAATAATAAGTCTATTGTTCAGGTGGATTTGCATAAATATTTTCAAAATATTGTCCAGAATTATTAATATTGATAAATTCTGTAAACAAGCCAGCTATTTAAAAGTACACGTAACATCATGGATGACAATACATTATAAAAAGCGATTGCGCCGTCTAACGAAAAGGCGTCCTATATGACGCAGCATTACTTTTCACATATTTAAGATTAATTTTAAAATATTTTGATCTTGAACAAGGAATTTATCTATAATTATCAATGAGTATAGATGAATTTCATGTGCGTGCTGTGAATGCCACGTGTAAGAATCTGAATATTGAATTGGTATTTTTAAAAGATTTTAAATCAATATAATATTTCGATATTAAATTCGAAACTTTTATTTTATAAAAAAGTCGAGGAGAACAAGGAACAAACGTTTCCTTTCCGGAGAGAGATCATTATCCCTCCTGACTAAATATCTGACTAAATAAGACTCATCTTGACATCCCGTCAGATGGTCAAAATACTTAATTCTCATTGGAAGAGAATATTTGTATAAAAAGAGTTTACATGCCAAACTCTAGGTGCATAAGTTTAAATTAGTCGTCATATCTTAATTTTTTACCCGATCTCCTCTGGTTCCCAACTTCCGCCTCCCAAAGACATACGTATAACTGAGATATTATACTAATATATTTATTGCAAACTCTCAATATATAGCAATAACATTATAGTCAGATAAGTCAATGCCCTTTTGGTTACTTTATACAGGGTGTGGCATAAAGGTAAATAATCCGTTAACTGCGGATAGGGGACGTCATGACTGTTCAGACAATTAAGCATTGTTTAGTAAAAGTGTCATAGTTTTCGAGTTATTGGACATTTTTTTTTTTTTTTTGGAAAATGGACTTTCTCATTCACATTTTTCAATGTCATGGTCATAAATCAAGGATTTTTTCCAGTCTGTTTTTGAATACTAATCTTGGATAATGTTCTATCAAACGTAAACTGCTATTACATTACATTAGTGTCATAAACTTGGTGTTTTTTAGAACAAAAAATAATTCAAAATTTTTGTTTCGTGTTTTTTCGGTTTTTAGGTGTAAAAGAGTACTGTAATTATTAGTTAGGCAAATTATTAGTTAATTTGTCACTCAGGTTACAATACCTTTTTTACACCGAAAGAAACGAAACAAAAATTTTGAATTATTTTTGTTCTAAAAGAAACCAAGTCTATGACACTACCAGTAAAATGACAGTTTACGTTTGATAGAACATGTATCCAAGATTAGTATTCAAAAACAGACTGGGAAAAATCCTTGATTTGTGACTATGACATTGAAAAATGTTTACGAGGGAGTCCATTTTCCAAAAAAAAAACTAGAAAATGTCCAATAACTCGAAAACTATGACACTTTTACTAAACAATGTTTAATTTTCTGAACAGTCATGATGTCCCCTATCCGCAGGTAACGGAATAATTATCCACGCTTTATGCCACACCCTGTATATCCATTTGTATTTTGAATTTTATTTGTTTATTAAATATACTTTTGTTTGTTAAAATGGAAGTGAATGCTCATATTAGTTAAATATCGGTCACCCTATCCTACCCACTCAATAATTAGTCCTCCAATAGCCATCCAGTGACAGTGTGAGCAGGTTTCACTAACCTGTAGTCGATAATCGTTCGATAACTCAAATATATCGAACCCGATTTCTCACATATGTATACAAATTTATAAGAACCAACGTTATCTTACAATGGATTTTATATACTCTGCCGCAAATACGTTTGCGAGAATAATTGGTGTAGTGATATTGTGTCGGTGTATGCCTGTGACATATGACGGGGCACCATAAGGTATGTGACATGTGGCATTAACCACATGTCATATGCCTCATGGTGGCTATGATAATATTTTAGTGCCTACAGCAACATTCCCAACCTTTTTCGGGTGGCGACCCCTTTTTATAAAAGCCAAGTTACCCGCGACCCCGATACAATTGAAAAAAGCATTTTTAATAAGGTAAATAAAAAAACAACGAAATTAGCTTTTTAGTATAATTTTAATTTAAATTATGTTTAATAATTAATTTAATGCGATGGTTTAAATTTCATGTCATTAATTAACCAGCCTCAAAATTCGCGGGTGAGTTTTTGTTAACGCCAACCTCATGTCATTCTCAACATTTAATTTATTTATTTCTTTTGTTTTTAAACGAAGAAGAGTTGAAATTTACTCTCGCAGAGATATGTAGACACAAATGGAACTAAAACTCGAAAGGCAAGCATCCTCATATTTGGGTATGAATGATACATACCACAACAGAATTTTGTGAGCAATTTTTCATTAAATAAGATATGTGCTGAGGAATCATATCGCAAATCCAAGAATTCATCTTGTAATTCATCGGGAATGCTGGCTACATCAAGGAAAGTAGAGAATGGATTTTGTATCAATGTAGTTTCTTCTTCTTTCAGCTCAGGGAAGTAACGCTGGAGTTCGTTTTCAAGGGATTCGAGATGCCCAGTAATCTCCTTTTTCAAATTTTCATTTATTTCACCTTCAGATTCATCAACCACACTGCAGAGTTTCTAAAACATGGCAATGTTTCCAAGATTTATTTTTCTTCGCCAGTTTTGCAGCTTGGATAAAAATGCCCCGAGATTATCGTGAAATGCGATAATATTCGTTTACTTTTCCTGAAGTTTCAGGTTTAGCCTACTTTGCTGTTCTAATATATCTTCTAGATATGCTACTCTTTTCAACCAAGCTTTGTCCTTAAAGTATACCAAAAGGTCATGTTTTCCTTGCACTTCCAGGAACAATTTGATTTCATCTTTCAATTCAAAGACGCAATTCACAACATTTCCTTTCTACAACCAGTGTACTGCAGTGTAGAAAAGAAAAACCTCGTGATCAGAATTCATGTCTTTGCACAGTTCTTTGAACAGATTGGTGTTAAGAGCTCCAGATTTGATGTAATTTGCAATTTTTATCAGCAAATCAAGTACTTCTTGCAGAGGAGTTGGAAGAGTCTTACTGGCAAGGGCATACCTGCGAATCATGCAGTAGATTTCCTTTACTTGGGGAGCTAGTTCTTTTACTTTTTCTGAAAGCCCGATTTTGATTCAAGGATAGATGGTGCACCATCCGTAGAAACCCCACAGACGTTTTTCCTCTTTAATCCTCCAGTCTCAAAAAACGTATTTATCTTCTCCATATCTTCACTTTTTGTAGTAGTTTCAAGTCCACTACAAAATAGGAACTCTTCTTTAATATCATCTGAATGAATATATTTCACGAAGACAAGCAACTGAGAACACGAGCTTACGTCTGTTGATTCATTAACTTGAAAAGAAAACAATGGTGAAACCTTTATTTCATTCAATATCTGCTCTTTAACGTCTACGGACATGTCTGATATACGCCGCTGAATAGTATTACTAGACAGAGATATTCGTTGCATCTTTACTTCATTGGAATCCCTAAGAATTAATTTCACCATCTCAACATGCAGGGTTTGATAAACTTTTCTCCAATTGTGTGAGGTTTTTTTTTGTTTGGCAATTTCCAATGCGACTTCATATAATGCTTGCACTAATGCTGTGCTCTCTTGCTGAAAACTTCCTGTTCGATCAAGTCACTGACGTTTGCAATTAGTTTCATGCAGACGAAAGAACTCCAAATCTTTTAGTGCGTTCTGAATGCTTCGTCTCTAAGTGACGTTTGAGTTTTGAAGGTTTCATAGACTCATGATTGAGAACAACTTTGCACAGTACGCATTGTGGCATCTCTATTACATTGCTAGTCTAGTTAGTAATGCCGAATTTCAGATATTCTTCTGAATATTTACGTTTTTTTTCCATTGCTGGGAAAAGAATAAACGAAATTTCTGAATACTTTTACGCCATGTAAGTAATAATATAAAAAACTAAATTAAATGTGAAAATAATAATCACCACTGTCTGTTTAGTCACAAATAATCCACAACGTCACGATGCTTCCTTTACGAAGTATTCAATAAGACTGAAAATATTCTGAAAGACTAATAATAAAGGCAAGGATTATACATAAAACATATTTTAAATACTAAATATAAAACAACTTATTAAAAAATAATTAAAAGTAAATAAAATCAATTCGAGAAATCGCCGTCACTTTCATCGTTTAAATTAAAAATGATTCATTATTTAATTCTATCATATTGTCTAACCGCCACATATTAATTTCAACCTTGTCTTTAACATGTTCAACGCATTTTTTCCATATTTCTGGCATTATTGTTCCCATAGCCTCATAAAATAATTTATACATTTCTGAAAATTTAAAGTTAGTATTTCTAGTTGCTACATACCCTTTGCACATGCCAACTGAACCTCCCAAACAACAAACCAATACTGCCCTGTTGATTAGTATGCATCAGTGCATCTGGTAAAGTGAGCGACCAATTACAAAGAACACATAAACAGTCACTCGTTGAATATTGTTTTAGAGCGCTGACTGTTGAAAATAAATAGACTATAGCTATGTATGTACAGTACATATGTTGTTTGAGTAAATTCGTTCGGTGGTCATCTGGACGTTTTATTGCTTACCTTCTCAGAAATTCTCGGTTCATTTTCGAATGAATCGCCTCAAACAATAGAGGCATTTCACCATTACTCTCAAACTCTCAATACATGTTTCAACTAACTGTGACAGAATAGCGTATCTAGATTACACTTATTTTAATTTTTAAAAAAATATATGAAATTATTTAAATTTCAACACACCATTAAAAATAAAAATTGTATTATAGTGAATATATTTTTCTAGTTTACTGTATAAGTTGGGGTCGCCAACTTATACAGTAAACTAAAAAAATAATAAAAAATGAAATCTTGCATCGTTTTGAAAGGATATTTTTGTATTTAAATAGTTTTGTGCGTTTTCGTCCAGAGACCGATTCAGTAGAGAGCGCTAGAAATTCTCGTTTCTTCAAAATGGTGGATAAACTTTTTGGTGAGGCAGTATCTTTCATTTTATGGCCACTATCAACTTCGTGCAACATGCAAACTTCTCTCTATTAAAGAAGTAAACTTTTTTTTTTACTTTTTTTTTCGTAAAAGGTGAAATGCAACTTAGCCATACATTTGAATATACAAGAATTTGCTCTGTACCGGAACGAACAGCTTTTAAAAGCTGTGCGAAATTCTTTTGTATGTTGTATCATTATTAATTATGTCAGTAGGCTAGATAAAATGAATGGAAATATCACCTCGAGATAAGGATTAGATATTAAATTAAATGATTTTTTTATATATATAGAAATAAAAATGAATGTGATTCTGTAATAAAAGCAATGATCTAACCTGATTAATTTTCTTATGAAAATAACTAGAGATTAAATGCATATATGGAAACAGGCAGAATGACGGTTAAATGAGTATGAGTTCTTTATGTCTATATTGTAATAAAAACTTTTATAAATCTGGAATTACAAGAGTTATGTTGATCTTTGTTTAGTCTATTACAGGTCTTTTACATGGCGTCCAGTAAGGAAGATGAAATTCGTTATTTTGATTGTGGGGACTTTTATTTAGAGTAAAGTTGCCTGCAATTTCACACTGACTACTAGTCAACACCACCAAAACGAATTTCTCCCTCCGTACTCAGCACCATGTGAAACAATAAACAAATATCAACATAACTTCTATGGTTCCGTACCAGTGGGACACTATATATGGGACATAGTGTCATTCTAAGTTATATTAAACCAGAAATAAAAGATAATATTTTTAACTATATTAACTTGTTTATCTTTATCTTGTAGATAACATTCGCTGTAAAATAGAAAACAAATTACGAAAAAAGTTTTATCAGTTTTGAACGATAAACTCGTCGTATACACAACTCGACATGGATGAAAGTATGTTAGTGTATTTGATATAATCTATATAATTTTAATTAATTCTCAAATAATATATATACATTTTACAGAAAATCCGTTACTTCAAAACAAAAAAACAGTTTTAGAAAGGGTAAGTAAATACAAATTCTTCAGGAAAATAATCTGTCATACGTGTTTTATTTGATCTGTATACAGTATCCATTTTATTTATTAAGATAAAAAATAAAACTGTTATACTTATAAGAAAATAATAACTTACTTTCTTTATTTTAGATTATTATTTTTATTTTTTATATCATATAATTGTATAAAATATAGTTACATATTTACTGACAGATAATCATAACAGTAGTTACGTTTTATAGACTCTGTATGACTGTAGCATTATTTTATTTTTACACCAAAATGGAATTAACATGAAATTTAACGAAATATATTTTTTTTTCAGGAAAAAATTTCTTATCCGAAAGCCATTTTCTTTATTCTGATACTATTATTTGGAGAATCGTTGTTCTTTTCTAGTTTACAAAGTAAGTTGCTCTTTTATTACACAAATTATTTAAATTTTGTATAATAGAAGTGTAATATATACGACGTGAAATTCATTTAATAATTTTTAGTGAGTTAACGATAAGTATTCAATAATTTTATTGGTTTAAAAATATAGTATATGCATTTACTGCATTCCACAGACAAACGAATTAAATTATATCACAATATTCATTAATTTTTGAAATAAAACCAATTTAGTAATAATTTTATTTTTATTAAGATTCTATAATGGATTTAAATACATTCATGTTCAAAATCTTCAATTGTCTTTAAGAGATTTTGAGAGGTTGTTCATACGCTCGTATATAGGAATTAAACTGTTTGTAAAATACTTAATAAATAAATATTTAATTTATTAATATTAATTTTGTCAAATTTTCTTTAAGATTTTGTAGATTTTTGCATAATTTTTGTAAAGTGCTATTAAAAGTAAACGAGGATAAAAGTAAAAGAGGATAAAACAAACTTGTCCTCATATTGTTATTGTAATTAACAGTATGTGAGCCATAGAGAATAAATATACTTATGCAAGTCATTAAAGATCACAGGCAATACTTAAACAGCCAGGGCTTTATAACACGTGTAAGTAAAAATTATTATGTAATCTATCGATAGTGGTGCCGCGAAGCTAGGTCATATATATACATAACATTATGTTAAATTTTCAGTAAATTAATTTACTATTAAGTATAGTAATTTAGTAATATAGTCCGTGAAACTGCAAATGCACAGAGTTTGATTATCATAAAACACAAAAAAACAAATTTCTGGATCATACGGAATTTCGATTATTAGTTCTATCAAGTTAGAATAATTGAAATCCACTGTATTTTCAATTGGCAATGTATAAATAACTACATCTATGAAATATATCAATTTTCACGAAAAAATTACAACTTATTTACAAAACCATGATTCATTTACGAACTGAATATTCTAAATAAACGGATTAAATTCAATTGAAAGGATAACAACACAATACTTGGGCGATCTGTCAAGAGGGAAATGCTTACAAGCAGGACCTTTTACGACAAATTAGTTTAGATGTAAGATACGTGAAAATCCGAAAAATATCACTCGACTAGCCTATTGGTGTGGTGCTAATCCACGACCAGCAAGAGTTCAGATGGTTTTATCCACTCGGCCACTTGTGGGCGTGTAAACATAAAATTATTGTTGAACCATACGAAATTTTCATTCCTGTGCACCCGCTATAACATTTTGCATATTATTTTCCTGTTATTAGTCACTGTAGTTTCTTCAAACATTATAGAACAGGCAAAGCACAATAACATTTAGAAAGAAGCAAAAATATAAAATTAATGTAAAAAGTAATTAGTAATAATTATTCTTTTCAGATACTTTTATTTTATATTTCACTGAAGAACTTTTATACAGCGATAACACAGGAACTAATATATATCATGGATTCACTATGACTATCTATTTTTTCTGCTTAGTTGGTGCAATAGTGGCTGACAGTGTTTTAGGAAAATTCAGGTAAAAATAATAAATAGAATTTAAGTTATTTATTTAAAATTCTATTTCTAAAATATTTTAATTTTTGTTGGGCGTATAAGATATGATAATATATTTGTTTTTAGAACATTACTATATTCAAGCATTTTAACTGTAATTGGATGCGTAATCATTTCCTTGTCTTCTGTGCCAAATTTTCTTCCAATGAGGCAAGTTTTCAAAGAGAGTTATTTTTATAATTAAAACGTGAAATAATTTATTCAGAAAAATCAATTGTTTCATTATAACCTTCAGTTTATATATAAAACAAAATATAATTTGAGCATTTTGAATTAATATTAAATTGTAAAGTGTAAATTTAATTGAGAAACATTAAAGACGCTTAGTATTTTTTAGATCTATAACCATGGTTAGTTTAGTTGTGATAGTCATTGGAATAGGAGGAACAAAACCCTGTCTATCATCTTTCGGAGGAGATCAATTTAAACCCAATCAGGTAAAATTGTTAATTGTAAATTATATTAAGTAAATATAATGTTTGCAAAAACAGTGGTTCGTATTATTAGATCAGTATCAACAGATATTTTATTACATCTTACGTGCGTGGAATTATAACCAATATGTGTTTCACAAGACAATTATATTTATAGTATAAAATCTGATATGAAACTAATATTATTCGTTTTAAATTTTCATGAATTTTGGCAAATTGTTTTTTTAGCAAGAGTGTAACAACAGTAGGATTTAAATAAATATGCAGTTTAGAATACACCATAAAAACGAAAACTCATATAAACTTGAATGGAACTAACGGCTTTGAAATTTCTATAGGGTTCGTATGTTTAGATTACATGTAACCGTGCACCAAGATTACCTATAATATCATTAAGTATACTTACATACACGTATAAATACATATTTACTGTACTGTACTTTACATAATAAAGTTTGGTGGCAATTAGAAATTATCAAGTTGTGGCTGCCTCGTCACAGTTGTCTGGGCAATGTCAGATGCTTACTCTATTATTCCATAGTACATATCGTTTGGTTCGTCAAAGTTAAGGATATGTTTTATCATAGAGTCCAGATTAATAAATGAATCTATCATGTTGTATATTTTTAATATCTTAGCAAACCATAACATTGCTATCAATATATGCTACTAAATACAACAACCCGATTCACGCTCGACCCATTCTGATTTTGAAGATAGCGTCTAGTCTTGAACTAAGGTCTGTAAAATATTAGATCTGATTATTAATGATTTCGCGTATCACCCTACTCATCTCCACACGCATTCTCCCTAATGGATTTTATGCTTAAGCTAGTATATTAAAAGAGGAAATTGTCATACGCGATTGATAAGTGATAGAAAATCATTATTAAAGAGTGTTTTCAAAACGTATTAATTGAATTGACCTGTAAAATAACTTCATTCTTTAGGTTGTAGCAGAATTCTGCATTTTGTAAAACCACAAATAATGATTGAACAGTTAGAAAGGCAATGCCTTAGGCATTACTTATGTAATATCCCGTTCGCACCGAGCATTTCGATCTAGATAGTGACCGAGGTCGGCGACTATGCCGTGATGAAACCTCTCTCGACCGTTTCCATCTCGACTGAAACGAAATTTAATCGCGATTCATTCAAGAGAATTCTTGTAACTAGATCCGGTCATAAGAGATATCCCACAATCCCACGTGCGCGAGAAAATACAAGATGGCTGCGGAACACGTGTCGGGCTATCGACAGAAATATAAAAAAGACATCTGTCTATTATTAGATATATGGCAAGAAAAAATATTTACTTCTAATCAAAACTTCCATTCTGTTTGTTGTTGTTCGTGACTTATCGCGTAGTTATGTCAGTTTTATCATCGCGTGTAATAGCCGTGTTCTTCTCAAGTGGAATGCCTGTGCGAACAGCTCGACGTTCGTCTGGTGACAGTTAGAATCCAGATTGTAGGCAAATCGAGATCGAAGTGAGTCGTGGATTGTGTGCGAACGTAGTATAAGAACGAACAATTATTTATTGTGGCACTGTCACAATGATAGGCTGCAATTTTTCGTCACAATGTTCTCAATTATTTTAGTAGTGTCTTGACTCTGTAAATCATATTTTTTTCTGTTAGCAATAAAATCATGATTACTGCGTTCATGGGAAACTTTAAATTGAGATAACGTGACTTACGGTGCAAACCAGAGGTTTGTTCACAGTTAATAAGGATACACTGCCCCGATGCTTTCCATATCTGGTCTCGACTTAACCTATCTGACTCCTTTCTCAAGATTAAGAAAGAACAGACAGCCAGTCGGACGACAGCGGAAATTTATAAATCTACAGTTTTTTAAATTGCAGCCCGACAATATTTCTTACTGAAATAAGTAGCATGTAAGAATTTTCTTTTTGTGTAAGCAATTGTTACTTAATACAGTGCAGTATTTTCTTTCATTTGAAATGTTATTAATACATATGCTGATACGAAATGCACCATTTCCCGTTATTCTTATTTTCTAAGTAATTACTGTCTACCTGATATAGAAACATATCAACATTATGCATGATATTGATGTGACTTCATTCTATACTGTATTTCAAATCAAGGTTTCAGAAAATCAAATTTTTCGTATCTTAAAATACGTTTGGCGACTATCGTTTAAAATATCAAATATAGGCCTATATATAACTATCGATTGATTGTTATTATTATTTTATAAATATTAAAATATATTTAATTTTCAGAAAACTGAATTACAAAGGTACTTCTCCTTTCATGTTATGATCTATAAAACGGGAACGCTAATGTCATCCTTTATAATTCCTATATTAAGAGGTAAAAACATTCATTAAATTATTAAATTTATATATTTTTAAATGAATCATTGGTATAGTATACCAATGATTCATTTAAAAATATATAAATGAATCATTAAAATAAAATATATAAATGTAATATATATATTTTATAAA